AATATTAAGGGTTCATTACCAAAAACAATAGGGGTCTTCTTTAACCAGATCCCGGCCGACATCCATATTTTTGTAACGATTGATCCATAACCATCGTCTGTAATGGAAGACGTATGGGCTCGGCTAGTCGCGATCGGTATACTAAATGGTGGGTCTAGGACACAGTCGGGCGAACCACCGCACGCGCGCTCTCTCGCGAGAGTAAGTATCTCTATTCACTCACACACATTCAACTTAACCAATTGAAAACCCATTGACCCACACACAAAGACAAGTGCGTGAGAACAGAATTTTTTACGCTCTGCCCGTGCCCGGTCTAGGACCAATATTTCGCGGCGTTAAAAACTCTTGAGGCCACACAGGGCTATAATACCCTTACAACATACAAAGACATAGAAACCGTAAAGACTTGACAAAATGCATTTCGACAAAATAGTTTATGAAAAAATATCCAGGGGGAATCAGGCATAACAGAGGCATGTTAACAATAAAAACGCAAATACGCGATAATGTGTGTATAAAATGTAAATAAAATTAGAGATCTGTACTCAAAAAATATATTTTTATTTTATAAGCTTGCGATATAGCGTTTAAAACGATTAATATTGTTTGCTATGTTGTTATGATATCGTAACAACAGAGGAAAAGCCATCTATTGGAAATTGTTGACGTATCGATTGTCGTATCTTTATACTTTTATGTCTTTGCAACATAGTTATGTTGGGTATACACATTTCAGGTCCCAGGTTAACATATTAGTTATTTAATATTGTAGTGCAATCCAGCCCACTGTGACACTTTTAGTTTCGCGCTTATTAGTAATCGTAACAGTAGTCATCTCAATTCAAGCACGGCAACAAAAAGGCACGTGAGCAGGCAGACATCTGTCATCGTGTGTTCGAGTGTCAGTTCGTTTTTTTGGAGACAATAGCCGAATTAATCGGCTCAAGTGCAGCAAATTCAGTAACACAGATGAAACTTTTCCAGTGGAGCTAATGATGAGAAGTATCATTCGCACAAAAGATTCCAGCTAAGCTTATTTACATAGAAACGCAACAGGTAAAGCTGTCGGTTGGGTGGAGATTTTGTAGAATTTTGTTAAATGTTTTATTTGTTTGTGAGCGTGTTTAGGGTGGGGTTGTGTGGCGTGGCGTGGAGTATGCAAACATTACGTTTTGCTCCCTTCCATCTATTGAACATTAAAGATCAGTCAAGCGATTGCTTGGGAAGATGACAGCAGCGGGTGGCAAACGAACCATAGAGTATCATCATCATCGGCGTCGTCGTTGTCGTCATCGTCATTCACCGCAATCGCTGACAAGATCGCTGCCGTTAACTTGATTCGTGCATTTCAATTTACAAAAACAAAACAAACAAACAAAAAATAACAATTCAAACAAAACAAAATAAAATAATATGTAAATGACAATATCGCAAATTTTCATTTCGTTTTTCGTTGGGTTTTGTTGTAGATTCTCTCACTCGAGGGGTTGTAGACATTCATCAATTAGTTGAAGTTTAACATTGGCTAGGTGCGTTTGGGAAAACTCGCTTCTACAAAACGCGATAAATAAGCAAAGAAAAACGGTTACGAAAATTTGTGATTTTTTGAAAAATGGCGGGAAGTTAAAAAGCGTCGTGAAATAATGAAATAAAAAATCGTTCTTTAAACCCCCCACTGAAAATTCAACAATATACAAATAACATAAATAATCAGGAATTATATACATATGAAAAGAAATATTAATGAATTATTATGAAAAAATTGTATAAAAATATTTTAAGTGAAATTAAATCAAAATTGTATAATTTTTAAAATAATAAATACATAACATTCCATCGAAATGCATTTTATGCAACAAAAAGATTAATCGATAAATGAGAAATATCAAAATTATAATAAAATAAAATTATAATACTCTGTAAATAACAATTAAAGTGTGTTTCTCTTACTTACTTAGCTGGCTTGTTACAGAACCATAAGCCGAGCTTAAACAAGATTTCCAAGCGCGTCGGTCTTGTACACAAATCCACCAATTTGGAAGACCACGTTCCAAGGTGTTGTTTTCTACTTGGTCTTTCCATCTAATTCGTGACCTTCCCCTTCTACGGGAACCATCAGTAGGCTCATTTTTATATGCCTTTTGAGCTGGGGCATTTTCATTCATCCGCACAACATGGCCTAGCCACCGTAGTCGATGCAGCTCAATACGACTGACTATGTCGATGTCCGCCTATAAATTGTAAAGCTCGTGGTTCATTCGACGCCGATATTCACCATCGACGCAGATCGGCCCGTAGATCTTTCGCAGAATTTTTGTTTCAAACACCCCAAGAGCTGCCTCATTTGCTTGCGCAAGAACCCATGCTTCTGATCCATATAATAGCACGGGTAGTATCAGCGTCTTGTAAAGTGTGAGTTTGGTGTGGCGGGAGGTTGCCTTGTTTCTAAACTGCTTACTTAGACCATAGTAGCATCTGTTGGCCATCACAATCCTTCTCCGAATTTCAAAACTGATGTCATTCGTTTTATTTATGGCGGTACCAAGGTATATAAAGTCTTTAACTACCTCGAAGCTGTAGTTCTCAAGTTCCACAGTTGGTCCGAGTCTACTGGACGTCTTGCACGTTGATACCATCAGCTTGGTCTTCTCGCCGTTTACTGCCAGACCCACTTTGGCAGACTCCTTTTCAATATGTTCAAAGGTGGCTGTTACCCCTCGCAATGTCGACCCATTATATCGATGTCATCGGCGTAGGCGAGTAACATGTGTTGTTTGGTGTACAGAGTGCCATTTCTGTTCACCTTTGCGTCTCATATGACCATTTCCAGTAGGATGTTAAAAAGATCACACGACAAACTGTCACCTTGTCTGAATCCTCGTTCGGTATTGAAGGGCTCCGATAGGTCCTTTCCTACTTTAACTGCTGACCTTGTGCCACTTAAAGTTAATAATTTTGCAGGAATGCCGAACGCAGACATGGCTTTAAGTACCTCTGAACGGATAAGGCTGTCAAATGCGGATTTACAGTCGACAATTAGGTGGAATGTGTCGATGTATGTTTCGTGGCTCTTTTCCAGGAATTGGCGCAGAGTGAAAATCTGGTCAAAGGTGGATTTGCCAGGTCTAAAGCCGCATTGGTATGGTCCGATGATGTCATTGACCATTGGCTTCAATCATTCACACAGCAAACTGGATAGCACTTTATATACGATGGGAAGGAGACTTATTCCTCTATAGTTGGCACATATCGTCTTGTCTCCTTTTTTGTGCACGGGACACAGGATGCTGAGGCTCCAATCATTGGCCATGCATTCCTCTAGCCAAATTGTTCTAATCAGCTGGTGCATGCTCCTGACCAGCATCTGACCACCAGTCTTGAATAGTTCGGCTGGTAACCCATCGGCTCCTGCTACTTTATTCTTCTTCAGCCGATTAATTGCTATTCTGACCTCATCTTGGCTAGGTGGTATACACTCTATACCGTCATCTCTTATTGGTTCTGGGGTATCTTTTTCACCGCCACTATTTGATACCAGAAGCTTTTCAAAATGCTCCTTCCAGATTCCCCAGATACTCCCTCCCAATAATTCTCCATCGCATTGCGTGTTGCTACTGTCTGCAGGGTTGCCCTATGCGCTGCATTTTTCACATCGGTAGCATTACGTACCATGGGTTTCTAGATGGTGGTTTTTGGTACCCAAGTGTTGCTTGCATTTTGTAGGGAGTGGGAAATTCTCTGCCACAGTTGGGTAAGTTGAGCGGAGTAGGCTTCTGCTACCTGTTGTGTTTGCAGCTTTCCGACGTCGAGTTTTCGTGTTGTGTTAGATCGCACTTTTGCTGCTACATTAAGACGAGTGCGAACCTTGGCTGTTACAAGTTAGTGATCCGAATCGATATTCGCTCCTCGGATCGATCGAACGTCTTGATATATATCTATATCCCCTACGCCACCCAGATAGCCGTTTACAGATAGTCAATGAATAAAAAAACTTAAAAGTCCCAAAAAACCGTTGCCATAACCTTACCAGCCGATTGAGTTCTTTTTGCCTTCTTTGATGCACTTCCTCCAGCATCATTGTTCTTTTGTCTCTGAAGCATAGTGGTGGATTCATGTCTCATCAACAGTTAAGAAACGACTCTTAAAATCCATTTTATTTTGCTTAAAACGATGCAAACAAGCTTGAGAAATGTTCATTCTTATGCGTTTTTGAAAGACTGTTAACAAATGCGGCACCCATCTTGCAGAAAGCTTTTTCATCTCGATCATTTGAGATGCCCATGATATTAGCAATTTCACGCACTTTTATTCGTCGATCATTTAATGCGATATCATGCATAAATGAGCTGTGCCAAATTTCATCCAATTCGAATCTTAAATGCGTCCTGAATGTTGTTTACAATTTAACGTGGACGGACATACATGAATCGACTCAGAAAGTGTTTCTATGTATATGCTCAAAAGGAACCATGTGTCTATCTCGTTTCCTTTTGCCAAATATATGCACGAAGAAATAATACCCTGTACCACAGTGTGGAGAAGGGTATAACAAGTGAAAATTTGTAGTTATTGATAATCGTCGATTCAGTCGTTAAACATTTACAGAATAGCGCTACTAGTGAATTATTCGAATTTTTACAGAATGTCATTAATCAATATTTTTTTTACTTATGAACAATTCAAGAAAATATATTTAACACAATAAATGGTTTAACAATATTCAAAATATAAAAAAAATAATTACAAAATCATTATGATGATGCTTCTTTACAAAGTGACAAAATAATAAAAACCTAAAAAAAAATCTCCAAACTAAGGTGCCGTAATAAATATATTTTTTTATTAAAAATATTTTCAAACACAAAAAAGCTATAAACCAAAAAACCTAAACGTCATTAGTGTAACTACAATAACAACAAAACCACCAAATTATCATAACTCATAAAATACCTTTAACAAACAGAGAGTGTCAACGCAACGCGACGCAGCCGAAACCCTGGACTTGCACAATGACCCTACAGTTGACGCTGCAACAACGTAACAACATTAAGCCATTCTCGCATTCTTTGAAAGCGTTAGCAAATGTTTATCCGGCCATAATAATTTTATTAGCAACAGCAACAACAATACAATGGAAATGTTTAAACTGCTGTAAGTATTCAATTATAGAGTTATTAACATCGCCGTCGGTAAGTACATTTAGGTGTATGTGTGTGTATGCAGTGTTTTTGTTTGGGTATCTATGACGATGCGGATTTTTTAGTTATTTTAGTTTTTTTATTTAAACAATATAACTATGTAATCATTAATTATTAACCAAAACAAAAGAATAGAATTTCATAAAATACATTAAACAAATGATTTATGGAATATATGTGCAAAAAAACTAATTGATGTAGGAAAGTTTAGAAAATTTTGCACAGATGTGCAAATGTGCATTATTGGGGTTTGTGATTTGAGAATGCAACAAACGGAAGATAGAAGGTAGTAAATTTGAAGGTCTTCTTCTATACATAGAATACTCTTTTGGAACAGGGTCGTAAGCTGAGGAGGGACCCAAGGGTTAGTTATGGATTCACCAATAAAATGTGTTATTTTGGTACTTTAAAAAATAAAATTTATACACTCTTAGCCTTATGGCTATATTTGCTATGACAAAATATGTCAATTTAGTTTCTGACAATTTCGATTTACTCCTTTTGGTAACTCTTTCCTAAAATGCTGAACATTTTATTGAAAATTTATTTTATAATATCGATCGAACAACGTATTTCGCATAATCTATTATTTTAATATTATTGGTCCTAGACCCACCTTTAAGTATACGGATCATATCTCGACTAGCTGAGTCGATCTAAACATGTATGTCCGTCCGTCCGTCTGCCCATTATAATTTTTAAACACGATACAGGCCACAGTTAAGGATCAATCGTTCTTAAATTTTTAATGTATTCTGACCAACGAAGATCCTTGTTGTTTTTAGCAATTATCCGTTAATATTTAGAGGATGAAATGGACCAAAAATATTTTTTGTCTGTTTTTATCATCACGAAATTTTGCACAGATAAAGGGGTCTGACCATAGAATTAGCATAACTGTTTTGATGAATATCGATTAATATTTGTGAGCCAGACTTTTGTGTGAAAAATGGTAAACTTTGCATTCTATGGCGTATATATTTACTCCTGGAGGACATAGATCCCAGAAGTTAATTGTGTATTCAAAAGGAGAGATTGACCTTTACATTGATACCAATTATATTACTGTATGTATTGCCAATATCAGACTAGAGGGTGAACATGCCGCATGGATCGCTATGAATCTTCAATGGAAGATCACGGTTTGATCAAGGACGACAACTACAAATTTCGATGATGATCAGATGATACTTAGGGAATGGAATGGACCTAAAGCCTTAGTATTGTATGGTTTCCTAGTTGATCTAGAGGCCTCTATTGTAAGCTGAACACCACAAATTTTACACTGATAAGGGATCTGACCAACTAGTTAGAATGACTATTATAAAAATGGTCGGTAAATATTAAGAGGGCCTTTTGTATGTAAAATAACCAAATTTGAATCGTTAGGCGTAAATGTTTACTCCTGAAAAAATGATTTGAAAAATATGCCAGGGTAAGAAAAATGAACTGTTGACCTCTAATCAATTAAGAGGATACAAATATCGCGAACAAATAAAATAATCGCTGACAAATAACTAAATATTAAAAAAATTACCATAATATTGCCCAATTTGTTTGTAAAAACGAAATATATAATCGAAATGTATCGCACCTGGCCGCTCTAGTTTGTTAACTGTTAACACCAAAATTAGCTGACAAGGCGATAAATAAACACGGTAGTGATTGGACTGATCGTAGATCTCTATGTAGAATTGGTCTAGCAGCAGGAAATCAAAACAAATTATGTTGTTTGTAGGTTTACTATATCCCTTCGATAGAACAGACATAGTACCTTTGGTGGGCCATTGTCATGAAATCGGACGACATAAATTATGTAATCTGTCTAACGGCATATTCCTATCAACCCGGCATAATTAGGGTTTTTGTTGTACCATTTGTATAAAATCGAACAAAGTTATTCATGAAAGCTATATACAGGGTGAGATGAAAAAACTCCAACCAACTTCAGACTGATGTCATTTCTAAGTCACTCGTCCGACAGTTGTTAAAATTATTCCAGTCACAGCTCATTATATTGTTTGAAAGCGTACAAAAGCAATTTGGTGAGAATTTTCCAGAAAAAAGTTATTTGTGATGGAATTCAAGCGTCTTAGTGTGATTTCTTTATATTTGGCTGGAAAACCGCAAGTGGCTATCGTTAGAGCACTCCAGCATTTAAATGTGAATAACTCTTTTGTGTCTCGTACCCGACGTCAAGGAAGTGGACGGAAGAAAACAGTAACATTAGCAGAAATGGCTGAAAATGGCTCGTTAGCTGAACATATCTCAATTTTCCATTCGGCAAATATTGACAAATGAGCTCGGGATAAAACCATTGAAACTCCAAAAAGTGCAAGAACTTACACCGCAACAGAAAGAAAATAGACTCAAAAGAATTCCTTCGCTCCTTCGCGAAAGTGGTGAACTGCCGAATTTGGTTTTCTCCGATGAGAAAACATTCGTCGACCAGCAGTTTGTAAACAAACAAAATGATCGTGTTTACTTTCCAAAGAGCTCAGCTGAAAATGTGCACCTTCGGTTGGCCAGCAGAACTCAAGCGCCGGCCATGGTGAAGGTGTGGGCCGCCATAACAGCCGAATGCTCTCCGCTCGTATTAATCGAACGTGGCATCAGAATAAAGACCTTGGACATTCCAACAGGACTTCAAAGTGAGGGTCTTCGCTTCATTTCCAGCGCACCAAAATCTCCGGATGTCAATCCGTTGGACTATTTTGGAAATGGTCCAAAATACCGCAGAGCAACATTCAGGCAGTGTGTGGCGGTTTCATTGGCCGTTTGCCAATGGTGACCAATTCAAACAAATCTAAACTTATTTTAAAATTTGATGCAATTTCTGACATTTTTGCTTTTATTCAAAAAAAAAATTTAAAAAAATGTAAATATTATGAGGTTTGACTTTGTCTCACCCTTATAAATCTGTACTGATTAAAAAAAAAAAATGACACACGCCATACGGTATACTGCAACAAAGCGCGCTATCAACAATTTCATCTCACTCAGACAATCGCTGATGCATAATTTGCATGAAACCTCTATATGAGTAGGGTGTTTGGTGTATCATTTACATAAAATCGGCCTGAAATTTATATGGGAGCAATATCTACATTCGATCCGATTTCAATGAAACCTAACACACATTATTCTAGACTCAATATATTATCTAAAAGTTCGTCTCAATCGGCAAAACTTGAAAATTGTCATTTACATAAAATCGGACGAAAATATATATGGGAGCTATATCTAAATCTGAGCCGATTTATTAAAAATTAAACGCACGCTACTCTCAATACACTCTGCTAAATTCTGTCTCAATCGGACAAATCATGAGATTTTGATGCACTGTTTACATAAGATCGGACAACAAGAAATATGGGAGATATAACTAGATATGAACCGATTTTTCCCAATTTCAATTGAGTTCGTCCTTGAGCCAAATTTCATCCAATCTTAAATGCGGGATTTTTTTATTAATTTCTCTTTGGAGATGACCTACATGGTAGAAGTTGCAATGAAAAGGAAAGCCAGAGAGATACTACATTCCCACCATTATGCGACGCGCTTCGCCGTTCGGACGGACGGTCATGTTAAAAACGCCTCAGAATGTGATTCTATTCATATTCTCAATAGAAACCATGGGTCTGTCTGTACCACAGTGTGGTGAAGGGTATAAAAATTAAAAATATCATTAAATTGTCACAGCAGAATTTGTATACCTTTCATCATGACATTACATTAAAAATACCTTGAATTGATCGGGGATTTTGTATAGGAGCTTTATCGTGTTAAATTCTGGCCAGTAGAAGGCACTCCGGTTGGAAAATGGGCTAGGGTTTTGAACATATCGGAAATGTCGCGTAACCTTTGTAGGGGAGCAATTCAGAAACTTCGATTTAATTTTAATGTGGTCTGTGAAGATAATCCGGGACCTTAACCTTAGATTAAGTTACCGGAATGTAAATCTTTGGAGAAACCTCCAAGAACCCAAAATGCCAAAGTGCGAAAATTAAGGTAAAACCTTCAAAGTACCGAAAATGAGCGAAACCTTACACTGGGGGTGTAAGAAATAAATGTGAGACGACGCTCCCGATCATTCTGGTTGAGTGGTGGTAAGGCACTGATTTTATTGTATAATATTTATACTTAGGTACTACTTAAACTACTCTTGCTTAGCCTAATCTCAAACACATAATACTTATCAATTAAATATTTATTCTAATAATAGAATTTGGTCGGTGGAGAATTTTCCAACAACAGTGTTAGCAGCGTTGCATGTGGGATTTAGACTCCTTTCTTAAAACACTCTAACGATCAAACGTTCTGTAACACAAAATTCTGTTTAAAGTATTTTGAACATGCTGGCGACTGGCAAGAACAGCTAACAAAAATTAATTTCTGTTCAAAGCATTTCGAACAGGGGGCTTTGTCAACATATGGACCTATATTCATAATTATTTGCATTGATCTACAAACACGAAATACCGAATTACGTATTCTGGTGTGGAAAATGTGACTTAAATCTTCAAAATCCCGACAATGGGTCGTTCCTTTATATAGGGGCTATGTCGAAACATGGACGTATATTGAAAATGTTCAGCAAAATCTCTTGTAGCTAAAATCTTTAAGATTCCAAAAATGGTTCGTGTCCTTTATTTGGGGACCATGCTAAACTCACTGACCTCAGGTGGTGAATTTTCATGTTTTAAATTTTCGCCAGGACTTCCTTTTCAAATTTAACAGTTTGAAATAAATTGATGTACTCATTTCTAATATTTACATTTTTCGACTCTTATTTCCCCGATTTTAGAAAATTTTCAACTTATTTTCTTTGTTTAACCTTGTTTTCATTCTCCAAATCTTCCATATTTTCCAGACGCCCTTACACTACAGTGTCCGCTGTATCAAATGCATTTGCAAAAAATCGTTGGCTTTCGACCGCCTCTGGAATATATGACGGCTAGCAATTTATTCTATTCACCGGCAAAAAGCAATTACAAAAATCGTAATCGCTATACACGTGATGGTTATCCAATCAACTTCGAAGATCAGCGAACACCACCGCCACTGCTAAACAACAGCGTTCTACAATTTCAAAGTACAACCAGTTCCGAATGTTGGCGTATTTGTAATCGAGATGATACCTGTTTTGCCTATGTCCATCTTTTGGATACCAACGAATGTTATGGTTATTCATATTTGAAAAGAAGTGACATGTATATGGCCGTGGGAAATAATTTACCCCTGTTAGCTGATGGTGAAGCCGTCTTCTATGAGAAGACATGTTTGAAGGGTATGTGTATAGAGGAAGGTGTGAATGAGAATCATTTAAAAATTAATTTTTTTGTTGTTGTTGTTGTTGGTTTTTGTTCTCAGTACCCGAAACGTGCAAACAACGTCTATGGACCTTGACCAAAATGCCCGGAAATAGTTTGGTATTCCAGGGAAAGAAAACAATATCGACATTGGTCACGCGACGTGAATGCGCTGAGAGATGTCTATTCGAACATGAATTCCAATGTTTATCTGCATCGTTTGCACCCTCCCATCGCAATAATCATGAGAGGTAAGTAATTTTGGTTTGTTGTTTTTTTAATGTGAAATTAAAATTAGAATTGCATTATAATTAACTGTTTTTGTTTTTCTAATTGTCCAACATACCCAATTTAGAAAAATTCCACAATATTTTGAATTTTGCCTTTTTTGCTTGCTCACTATGATATCACCTTTGTTATTCCCTGAATGTCTATGCACCTCCCCCGTTCCCCGCTCCATATTTTTTTTTAACAGAATGGAGACAAAATAGAAAAATAAAATTGCAATGAAGTCATATTTTCCTGATAAACAATTTCAAAATGTGGCGCTTCAGTTATTCAAACTACCTGTGATTGATATCTAGACTTTGAAATGTTCGAATCGTGGAGGAAAACATTAAGGCACAACAAAATGATGTGATAATGACATATTGTAACAACTTCGTAGTGAAAAAATATAGTCACTTCAAGACTTGCTACCCAATGGGAACCCAAAATACAGTCAATTCGGTTGAACAACGTGCCCAAAGTTGCCAAAATACTGAACATTGACAAAATCGTTCTAAATCCAATTTTCAATATCAAAATTCTTGGATTTTTTCAATATCAAAATCTTAGGCGTGGATTTTTCAAAGAATATTTTCTCCTTAGCCGTGGATTTTTTAAACAATATTTTCTCCAAGACCAGCATAGCCTTAGGCGTGGATTTTTTAAAGAATATTTTCTCCAAGACCAGCATAGCCTTAGGCGTGGATTTTTTAAAGAATATTTTCTCCAAGACCAGCATAGCCTTAGGCGTGGATTTTTTAAAGAATATTTTCTCCAAGACCAGCATAGCCTTAGGCGTGGATTTTTTAAAAAATATTTTCTCCAAGACCAGCATAGCCTTAGGCGTGGATTTTTTAAAGAATATTTTCTCCAAGACCAGCATAGCCTTAGGCGTGGATTTTTTAATAAAATATTTTCTCCAAGACCAGCATAGCCTTAGGCGTGGATTTTTTAATAAAATATTTTCTCCAAGACCAGCATAGCCTTAGGCGTGGATTTTTTAATAAAATATTTTCTCCAAGACCAGCATAGCCTTAGGCGTGGATTTTTTAAAGAATATTTTCTCCAAGACCAGCATAGCCTTAGGCGTGGATTTTTTAAAGAATATTTTCTCCAAGACCAGCATAGCCATAGGCGTGGATTTTTTAAAGAATATTTTCTCCAAGACCAGCATAGCCATAGGCGTGGATTTTTTAAAGAATATTTTCTCCAAGACCAGCATAGCCATAGGCGTGGATTTTTTAAAGAATATTTTCTCCAAGACCAGCATAGCCATAGGCGTGGATTTTTTAAAGAATATTTTCTCCAAGACCAGCATAGCCATAGGCGTGGATTTTTTAAAGAATATTTTCTCCAAGACCAGCATAGCCATAGGCGTGGATTTTTTAAAGAATATTTTCTCCAAGACCAGCATAGCCATAGGCGTGGATTTTTTAAAGAATATTTTCTCCAAGACCAGCATAGCCATAGGCGTGGATTTTTTAAAGAATATTTTCTCCAAGACCAGCATAGCCATAGGCGTGGATTTTTTAAAGAATATTTTCTCCAAGACCAGCATAGCCATAGGCGTGGATTTTTTAAAGAATATTTTCTCCAAGACCAGCATAGCCATATATAAAGATTTTCGTATTTTATATTAAGACCTACTGGTCTTCTGATTTTCGTAGGTAGACTTTATTATGAAGACCTTCAGGACTTCTATTGGTTGTTCTATAAGAAGATGGTTCGGGTTTCTATAAGAAGTCTTTCTGACAAATGAAGTAGAGAACATCTGTTCTCTACAAGCGGGGAGGTATTGAAGTATTCATAGACTTTATTATAAAGAACTTCTGGTCTTCTGATTCTCATAGGCAGACTTTATTATGAAGACCTTAGGGTCTTCTATTAGTTATTCTATGAGATGATGGTTTGGGTTTTCATAAGAGGTCTTTCTGATATAAGAAGTAGTGAACAGCTGTTTTCTACAAGGAGGGAGGTATTGAAGTATTCTAGTATTTTCCCTCTAAGTGAGAAACCCTGCACTCTCCTTAACCATAGGGAAACCAAGTTCTTTCAGATGTACGGATAACAGAGGGGAAAGTCCGGGACATCATTGCAGCTACATCCTCTAGATTTATTGCTTGTCGAATACCCGAGATGAGACCTAATTTCCTAGCAGAGGCAGTTGGACTAACAATTGAGCGTGAAAAGCTCCGTCGGCTCTCAAATTTGTCGCGCGGCATAAGCGAAATAAATAGTTTGAGCATCTTAAGTGTGGCAACATTGGAACCGGGCAACGGTTAGTAGATCTGGGACCCTGATAGGAAGGATGATAGCACCTCAGTACATGTCACGCCATCTCTAAACATATAAGTCGAGGACTAATCAATCATGCCACACTGTTTGAGGACATTGAGAAATATTCTCTCCGACCGAGTTTAAAACGCTGGATAATCAATTATATGTATGAACGCCAGTCGTACGTGGAGTTCCGGAATAAGATGTACATACCGTTAGAATGAAGCTGAGCGTTCGGATTACGATCATTGCGTCGGGTCCTATCGATGATGACATATGTGAAAGGTTGAACACCTATCTCTTTTTCAGTCGAGAAATATTAAAATATCTTGTTCACATGTACAGTGTAGATGATTTGGCACACAAATCCGACCACTAACTACCATATATTCTTGAAGTCACATTCGGTGTTCGAACAGAATATCAATTGCCTTGCCAAGCATACTCAACTTATTCCGGAAGATCTGTGGCTGCATCCAATGGAAGTAGCTGAATTTTTTTAATTGTGAGACAAGTGCAGAACCGAATCTAGTGTATTTCGATATTTTGAGTTCTCATCATAATATATCCACTCTTTAGAGAAACCCCTAATATTAGTTATTTTGAAGATTTCCGAAACACAGAGTTGGCTGTAATTTAATTTTTCTAGTTCTTAAATCTGCAAATCTTCCTACCGAAACACTCATAAAAATGTTCAGCCCTTAAAACGCCGGAACTTAATTTTTGAAAAATGTTAGTACCGTTGACAACATTATTCTACTTCTATTCCAGATTCCTTCAAGACTGATAGTTGTTTTGAACGGTATATATGAGAAGAGTTAAATGTTTGGATGGTAAGTTTGTGGAATTTAACGGGGTGAATTTTTGATCAATTAATTGTTGTTGTTTAAAAAATCCACGCTTCTAGGACTGATAGTTGTTGAAAAATATTGTTTAAAAAATCCACGCTTCTAGGACTGATAGTTGTTGAAAAATATTGTTTAAAAAATCCACGCTTCTAGGACTGATAGTTGTTGAAAAATATTGTTTAAAAAATCCACGCTTATATGGCTGATAGTTGTTGAAAAAATCCACGCTTAAAGGACTGATAGTTGTTGAAAAATATTGTTTAAAAAATCCACGCTTCTAGGACTGATAGTTGTTGAAAAATATTGTTTAAAAAATCCACGCTTCTAGGACTGATAGTTGTTGAAAAATATTGTTTAAAAAATCCACGCTTCTAGGACTGATAGTTGTTGAAAAATATTGTTTAAAAAATCCACGCTTCTAGGACTGATAGTTGTTGAAAAATATTGTTTAAAAAATCCACGCTTCTAGGACTGATAGTTGTTGAAAAATATTGTTTAAAAAATCCACGCTTCTAGGACTGATAGTTGTTGAAAAATATTGTTTAAAAAATCCACGCCTGATAGTTGTTGAAAAATATTGTTTAAAAAATCCACGCTTCTAGAGCTGATAGTTGTTGAAAAATATTGTTTAAAAAATCCACGCTTCTAGGACTGATAGTTGTTGAAAAATATTGTTTAAAAAATCCACGCTTCTAGGACTGATAGTTGTTGAAAAATATTGTTTAAAAAATCCACGCTTCTAGGACTGATAGTTGTTGAAAAATATTGTTTAAAAAAATCTGATAGTTGTTGAAAAAAAAATCCACGCTTCTAGGACTGATAGTTGTTGAAAAATATTGTTTAAAAAATCCACGTTTCTAGGACTGATAGTTGTTGCATCGCGTTGTCCCGATGATAATTGTTTAAGTACAACAAATAGTGGCTCCAATTGGTATCCAATAAAATCGGAAATGTCCACAACGAAAAGGCGACGAAGAAGACAGGCTACAACGGCCCAGGATAATCTGCAACAATTTAAAGTACAAAATCCAGTTTATATCTCAACGGTAATGGATGTTGTCACCATACCAGAAAATGACGAAAATAATAATTACACAATTTCAACACCAAATGAGACGGAAATCAATGCCACCGATTCAATACCATTAAATTTTAATTTACATGTTCGCGGCCCGGATAATACAAACACGAATAGTTTTATATATGGAGAGAGGGGGGTTCTACTCATAGCCGGTATAGGTAAGTTATGTTATGTCCTTTTCTATTTCTGTAATTATTTTTTTTTTATAAACATTTATTTTCAGATGATCAACTCCACATGGAAAGCGTTTGCATGAATCAAAGCCTACTGATTGCCTTGCTTATCTTCTGGTTGATATTCCAAATTGGTCTTATGTTTAGCTGTTGTTTTGTCATACAAAAATATAAACGCTTGGCCATGTTGGATGAGGAACGTCGCAAAATTCACGAAAGTCTAGAGTATTTGGAGGGACGTCGCGTCCATTGGGCCGATCAAGGTGGTTATACATTGTAAATGATAGTTTATTTAGCGGTAGATATTGTACTTAACATAGTTGCTAACAATATGTATGTAATGTATATATTAATTTTAATAAATAACGTAATGTAAACTTGTCTATTTATTATTGTATTGATAACCTATAGAAGTAGAAAAATATTCTTTAAAAAAAATCCACGCTTAAAGATCTTATTTTTGTTGAAAACTCATCTTTAAAAATCCTCCCTTAAAGGCCTTATTTGTGTTGAAAGCTATTCTTTTTTTGTTAAAAACTGTCTTTTAAAAAAACCCCACGGTTAAAGGCCTCATTTTTGTTTACAATTCTTTAAAAAAACGCACGCTTAAAGGCCTTATTTTTGTTGAAAACTTTTATCAAAAAATCCCCGCTTTAGGGCCTTTCTTTTGTTGAAAACTATTCTTTAAAAATCCACTCTTAAGGGACTGATAGTTGTTGAAGAATACATTCTTTAAATAAAAAATGCACACTTCTAGGACTGATAGTTATTGGAAAATTGTATTTCAAAAAAACACGCTTAAAAGCCTGATAGTTGTAGAAAAATATTATTTAAAAATCCACGCTAAACGGGATGATAGTTTATGAAAAATAAAAAATATATATTTTTTAAATCCACTCTTAAAGGCCTGATAGTGGTTGAAAAATATTCCTTGAAAAATCCACGCTAAACGCCGTGTTTAAACATATTATTTAAAAAAACCCCATGCTTAAAGGACTAATAGTTCTTAAAAAATAATCTTTAAAAAAATCCATGATTCTAGGACTGAAAGTTGTTGAAAAATAGACATTAAATAATTTACGATTCTAGGACTGAAAGTTGTTGAAAAATGTTCTTTAAAGAATCCACGCTTATACCCCTGATAGGTGTTCAGAATGTCCTTTAAAAAATCGACGCTTATACCCCTGATAGTTGTTAAAAATAGTCTTTAAAAAATCTACGCTGAAACCCCAGATAGTTGTTGAAAATTGTAATTCAAAAAAATCCACCCTCAAAGACTTGATGGTTGTTGAAAAATGTTCTTTAAAAAATTCACGCTTCTAAAACTGATAGTTTTTGAAAAATGTTGAATTGTTGAAAGATATTCTTTAAAAAATCCAGGCTTCTAAGACTGATAGTTTTTGAAAAATGTTTTTTTAAAAAATTCACCCTTAAAGACTTGATAGTTGTTGAATAATGTTCTTTAAAAAATCCACGCTTCTAGGATTGATAGTTGTTGAAAAATATTATTTAATAAATCCACGCTTCTAGGACTGATAGCTGTTGAAAAATATTCTTAAAAAAATCCACGCTTCTAGGACTGAGAGTTGTTGGAAAATGTTCTTTAAAAAATTTACCCTTAAAGACTTGATATTTGTTGAATAATGTTCTTTAAAAAATCCACGTTTCTATGACTGATAGCTGTTGAAAAATATTCTTAAAAAATCCACGCTTCTAAAACTGAGGCTTAAAGGACTGATAGTTATTGAAAAATGTTATTGTTAATGTTTGTAACCTTGCACATATATATTTGAAGATTTAAAAAGGAAGAAAAATAATTTACAAACATGTTTTGTTGTTGTTTTTTGTGATCAAAGAAAAGTCATTATTTTTGATGGCGGGCATGAAAACTCCTCACTGGAACATCGGAATCTGAAAATTCTTTAAAAAATTCCCGCATAAAGGCTTTATTTTTAAAAAGTCGACGCTTGAAGGCCTTATTTTTGTTGAAAACTATTCATTGGAAAACCCACACTTAATGACCTTATTTTTGTTGAAAACTATTCTTTGAAAAACTCACACTTAATGGCATTATTTTTGTTGAAATCTATTCTTCAAAAAATCCACACTTAAGGGCCTTTCTTTCGTTGAAAACTATTCTTTAAAAAATCCACTCTTAAGGGACTAATAGTTGTTGAAGAATATATTCTTTAAATAAAAAATGCACACTTCTAGGACTGATAGTTATTGGAAAATTGTATTTCAAAAAAACACGCTTAAAGGCCTGATAGTTGTAGAAAAATATTCCTTGAAAAATCCACGCTAAACGCCGTGTTTAAACATATTATTTAAAAACCCCATGCTTAAAGGACTAATAGTTCTTGAAAAATAATCTTTAAAAAAGCCCAAGCTTAAAAGACTAATAGTTGTTGAAAAATAGTCTTAAAAAAAATCCACGATTCTAGGACTGAAAGTTGTTGAAAAATAGTCATTAAACAATTTACGATTCTAGTACTGATAGTTGTTAATAAATATTCTTTAAAAAATCCCCTGATAGTTGTTGAAAATGGTCTTTAAAAAATCCACGCTGACAAATATTCTTAAAAAAACCAAGCTTAAAGGACTGATAGTTGTTGAAAAATATTCTTTAAAAAATCCACGTTTATAGGACTGATAGTTGTACAAAAATATTCCTTAAAAATTCCACACTTAAGGGACATAAAGTTGTTGACAAATATTCTTTAAACAATACACCCTTAAAGACCTTATTTTTTTGAAGAATATTGTTTAAAAATAATGCCATTAACAGGACAGATAGTTGTTGAAAAATATTCTTCAAAATATTCTTCTTTGGTGGAAAATATTCTTAAAAAAATCCATACTTAAGGGGCTGACAGTTGTTCAAAAATATTCTTTAAAATTCACGCTTAGAGGATAGTCAATGAAAAAATATGTTGTTAACAAATCTACGCTTATAACCCCGATTATTTTTGAAAAATAAGTACAAAAAATCGAAGCATATAAAGAGATGAAATATATTCTTTAAAAATCCACATTTAAAAGCCAGACAGTTCTTCATGTTGAAATATCAACTTAAGAATCCCCGCATATATCTCTGATAGTTGTATGGAAAACATACCTCATATATACCACTATTTTGTTTTTAATAAAAATCATTTTTTTTTTTTTTTAATTTATAATAAAATTTTGGCAAAACTGTGAAAGCACAATTTATTATTTCACATATAACAAAAAACAGAATTCTTAATTTTAAATGGATTCAAAGTATATATGGTATAGTGGAAAAATGATATTCAAGCGAAACAATAGAATTCGTATTTAATTTTTAATCTTGTGAGAAAAATGAAAATAATTAAAACCCTGGATTACAAAATGCATATTTAAGTTTTTTTACTTGTTCTCAGTAAGCAATAAGCCAAAAATTCCCCCTCTTTCTTTTGTTTTTTTTTTTCAAGTTATGTTCTTTAAGAGCACTTATATATTAAAATAAAATTTATATTTATAATTTAAATACATAAGGTGTATACACTATTTACGTGGATCATAATGTTCCCATTTGCGATGATTTAATTTGGAAAAATCTTTACAGTTCGTTGCTATATCGGTTAAATACTTGGAGAGTTTTAGTAGTTCCTTATCGGTGCTGCGATTCAAATGAGCCTGACGAAATGGCCGGATACGTAAACCAGAACGTGGATTCATCAGGAAATTACGACGTATATCATCAAACATAATGGTATTGGCAGCGGAATACTGTGGATATAGGCCCCAAATAACACCCAAGGGTTTAACATCTATTACCCCACGATCTGGTGTATGTACCGAGATCATAGCATGTGAATCTAAATAGAACATAATTTTATAGGCTGGATGATTGGAAACGCCCAGCAGTTTCATTTTCTCTTCAATCCAACGCATTCCAGTTGCCGACCAAATAACAATATCATAATGTTCATAGGCACATGTTAGAAATTCATGTAAATATGGTCGCATTAATTCCGAGCCCGATTCGGCAGAAGAACGATGATCAAATAGGGTATAGTCTATATCCAAAACCAATAAATGCTTTCCTGGACGTGGAGGATTAAGTTCGTTGATTGTATAGTCCTTAATACGTTTTTGTATTTTGGCCAAATAAATTGCGGAATTCTCCAGAGTTTCTTCTTCGTTGTCATCTTCCAAATCGTCAATGACCTCACCGATATCATCGGGCTTTTGACAGGCATCTTCAATATCAGCTTCCGTTGAGCCCACCATCATTAATTTGAAATTTGGTTTTAGTTCTAGATTTCCCAATTTTAGAGAATCCTCTGCTGGTTTTCCTGCAATAAAAAATGATTAATAACCAATTGTCCTTTTTGCAAGCAATCACATTACCTTTATATTTCAAATTAAGCAATTTTTGGCGATTTGGACGCACCATTGTCCTTTTAAATATTTCATGACGTAGCACAGCTACGGTATCCTGATCGGTTAAATCAGTTATGGGATACTCTTTAGCACTCCACTTAACCACAATTGTTATTTCCTGGATTTCCGTCATATTCAACACCGTTTACCAAACTATTTTTGTCAAACAAAACCAGAACCAATCATTCCTTTCGCAAAAAAACTATGCCAATGACAAAAGCGTCGTTTATCGCTTTTAGAATGAATCGGAGCAAAGAAAATTAACAATAAAGAGAAGATAAAAGAAAAATTGTAATAAATGTTTAGAATCAGTTGTCAAAGCAAATTGTGAATAATCAGCTGTTTTAAAATTTGCAAATGTCAATCATATGATTTCGTGCAAATAACAACTACTTGAGTGGGAATGAGTACCCAAATTGATAGGGCTAGCAAATCTGAATTAATAAAAGAGTAAAGTGATTGACTTAAAAATTCATCAACGCCCAGGCGAAACGGCTGAAGCTAGAATCATGACATTTTGGGTGAGGGTCTCTCCTGGTCCAAAGGTGACAGATAAGGCTGGGTTTTTGTAAATTCGTACTAGAAAGGTACGAAAAGTACTAAATGTGATACCATTTGTATTTGGCGAACCGGTAGAGCTATAACTCATAAATTTTAAATGAGGGTCACTGATGGAGTGTAGAATATATATAGCAAAGGATTTTTAGGACATTTAAATAATAAGTATACGAAAAATACTGAAATGAAATTCCATTTAAGGAGATGGTTTTGAAAGCGTGTGCTCATGTGTACAAAAAAGTACTATATTTGGTACAAATTTAATTTGGAGGTACAAATCGAGTTGGAAAATTTAAATTAGCATTACCGTAGAAGTGTAGGATTGGGATATATACGTAGTTTTGGATTTTTTTATTTTTTACTTATGTGTACGAAAAGTACGAAATTGTACTATAATTGGTACAATTTGGATTTGGGAACAATGAAATTTGGAGTCAGGATCACTGGAGGGGTGTAGGATTGGGGTCAGGATTTAATTTAAGCAATTTATACTTTTAGGTACTAAATGGTACTAAATTTGTACAATTTAAAACTTAGGCGAACCAATAGAGCTAGAATCATGAAATTTATAGTCAGGATCACTGTTGGGGTGTACGTTTTAGAAATTTGTACTAATGTGTGTGTAATTTGGTACAATTTGAATTGTGCGTGAACCGATGAAGTTGGAATCCTAAACCTTGGATTTAGGATCACTGTGGGGGAGAAGGTTTGGGTTAAGTAGGAAGTTTTTGAAATTCGAACTACTGTTTACTAAATTTGGTACAATTTGAATTGTGGGTGAACCGATAGAGTTGGAATCCTGAAACTTGGATTTAGGATCACTGTGAGGTGTTGATTTTGGGGTAAGTAGGAGGTTTTGGAAATTCTACTACTATGTCATGGTATAATAATAGAAGGTAACAGCAAGTGTTGTTGTACAGAAAACGATACAACAACCACATGGAAATTTGTTGTTGTAAGTTCTACTAGTGTCAACTCATTTGACAGAAAAATGTAAACAAACAAACAAATTATCATCAAAGTATTTTTATTTTGAAAATGAAATATTTTCGAATCCTCAAAATAGAAATTGAAAAACATGAATGAAAATCTATCAAATTTATATTTCTATCGCTTCCACATCTTTCCTATAATTGAGCCATTGCCATATATATGTGTAACACATATGAAAATGCTGGGAATAGCGAGTTATTCCTTGAAGAAAGATCTGCTTCCTCAAACTTTCCCAGCAGGCAGATTTATTAAATTGAATACAGGAGCACATTTAATAAAGAACAATTTCAAATTGTATGCGTTCCCAATTTTCCTGTTGGGTGATTTTTAAAAACATAATTTGTCAAATTCATATTGACACTAGTATTACGTTGGAATCAAATCAGCTGGGATTTGCTGTTACCTTTTATAATTGTACCATGCTACTATGTAATAAATTTGGTACAATTTGAGTTGCGGGTGAACCGATAGAATTGGAATTCTGTCACTTGGATTTAGGATCACTGTGAGGTGTAGGTTTGGGGTAAAAAGGAGGTTTTGGAAATTCGTACTACTGTGTAATAAATTTGGTACAATTTGAATTGTGGGTGAACCGATAGATTTGGAATCCTGAATCCTGGTGTAGGATTGGGGTATATAGGAAGTTTTGGAAATTGGTATTACTATGTACTAAATTTGGTACAATTTGAATTGTGAGTAAACCGATAGAATTTGAATCCTGCAACTTGGATTTAGGATCACTGTGGGGTTGTAGGATTGGGGTATGAAAAAAGTTTTGTTGGATGGTTGCGGTGGGTACTTATGGGAATAATGTGTGCTAAATGGAAATAAATTTGGTACAATTTGGAATTGGCGTATGCTAGTATCAAATAAAAAAGAACATCTTTTATTGATTTTTTTTCGAGGAAGCTATTTTTACCCTAAATATGTTACCCGGTTATTTAATCCTGAAGTACCGATTATACGAAACTGAGTAATACAAAATTAAAATGTCATTCCCTTAACACTAGAAAGACGGGAATTTTGTATATACCTATATTGCCTAAAATCGGTCAAAATGACTTCATTCTGAAAGAATTTTTATTGTGTAAAGAAACTTTTTTTAACTAATTTTTTAATATTTTTTACATTATTTACAATCATACAAAACGTTGTTATTATTTGTTTTCGGTGGTAGGGCTCTCGAGTTTCCCCTTTTGAAAAATAAGAGCGCGGACAAAATGTTCGAAAAAGAGGATGTCTTTACTCTAAGAGTGAAATCGATTGGAAATATACAATTTATTTTTCCCAATTTGTATGTTCGATAATGTTTTTAGAATAGCAAACGGATTTCGATGTTGTTGTACTCATCTGGTCATATAAGAAATTTACTTTATACAATAATAAAAGTAGTTTGATTATTTAATATTTCACAAGAAGTCAAAATGACCGATTTTAGGCAATATAGGTATAGCACATGTGAATACGGGGAATGAAAGGGGGGAGGAAGGTACAAAAAGTCACCAAATTTTAAAAAGCTGTGTCATAATATACACAATTGTTTTTGTACTTGAAATTCAAAAACAGTCAAAATGACTGCCTTCGGCAATCTAGTGTTAAGTTTTGACGTTGAGAGTTTTTGGACTTAGAAATGTTTGAAAAATCTCCTCAAGTCCTATTCAGAATAAAATAATAGCATATCAAGTACATTGCCAGTACTTCAAGGATGTTTGGTATTGAAAATGGAATAGATGGTTCCACTTGTTAGAGCAGACTCTATATGATGTTTTTTTTAACTTTTGGGCAATTATAGAAGCTGTAATTTGGTATTTTTACCTTCTCTCTGGGAAGAAAATATTCCTACTAAAAATTATCTTATTGACCCTTGTTTAGGTGTAGGCTTATATAAAGTAACCCCCAATCGTTCTACCAAAAGTTATCAACATTGGTTTACGTTTTTGTATAGCTTTAGGTATTTTAAAAGTTTTACCAACATTTTCCACCAATGTGAGAATTTTGAAGGCTTTATTGTATTGTATTGGCTGTAAAACGGCATATACATTAGAACTTTTTACCGGGTTAACCTACTTCATGAGGATTTATTTGACATATATGCAAAGGTATTGACAATTGAAACCCACTGGGTTAATGAAATCCGGTGAAATGTAAACGTACTATAAGTTGGCATTCCATTCGAGAAACATATATTTGCGGAAATTTGTCTCTACAGGTACAAGTTTTGTAGTCCCACAAAATGGTTCCACCCTACATACATACGTCAGAAACATATGCAAAACCAATAGGTTTTTTGACAAAAGAGTTATTTCCATTAGCGAATATTGCTGGGAATTACATCCCAAGCTTTTATGTAAGACTACCTGATCTTTCAGATTTATTGTCAGTACGTATTATTGTTTGTAAATAATTAGATCCGCTTTCCCAATATTAAACGACATATACATTAGAACTTTTTACCGGGTTAACCTACTTTATGAGGATTTATTTGACATATATGCAAAGGAATTGACAATTGAAACCCACTGGGTTAAAGAAATCCGGTTAAATGTAAACGTATTCTACGAAGATTAACTTACTAATAGACTATGTTTGCAGCAATATATTTGTAAAACCTCACAATCTCGATCCTGATTTAAAAATACAAACAATTCCATTAACATATGATGTAAAATTCCAATTTTTGTATTCATTATTTTTTGCAATTCTTTACATTATATATTCGCCATCCTCCACCTGTAGATTTTATTTCAGTTACATGAGCATGAAATTTTTTATGGTATTATTTTAGTATGACCTGGTACCCTTATTTTTAAATTGTTATATTGTCTCTTTATTGACATTTATATTTCAACATGAACCGTTATTCAATAATAATAATATTATTATTTGTTTGATTATGTATTTGAGATTATATTAAATAAATTTGTATTTGATTTCGACAGAATTTAAAATTAATGGATCACCATAACCGTAGCATTTTTGAAACATTGTTTTGGTAATCCTCTGTATGCTGAGAGAATTTTGGAATGTTCTTCTCATGACGGTGAAATTATCAATCTATCCATTTGTTATAGTCCTTAAAATATGTCAACAGCTCATGGTGCAGGTCATCGACTACCAACTACATCAACAATGGTAAATGAAGCCCTTTTGGACAATACCGGAAAGAAAGGTACATATTTATCATATACCTTTACCTTATAACACAATTTGTATCATATTTCTACAGGTATAACATTGATTGGCATTTATAAGTATATAAAAAATAAATATACAATCGATGTAACGACACAAAGAAAAACAATTATTAAGAAATATATGGAAGCCTTAAGGGAATCTAATGACATTCATAATATAACAGGACGTGGATTTTTGGGACATTTGAAATTGGTTAATAGAAGAGAATTTGAACGTAAAATCACTCAACATACTACTAACAATCGTAATATTTCCAAAAAGAATAATTCCAAAAGTTTGAAAAGGCCACAACCTGTAACACAGGTAATTCCAATTTCTGTTGATCCACCTCCGTTGAGTCAAACTTTTGATTTGGAAGAACCTGAACCACACAATATATCACAACCT